TCCCTACAATCATTCGATTCGGTTTCAAAATATACAGAGAATCAAATGTACAAAAGAGAAAACATTATTGGATTAATCTCTCAATTTGTAAGTATTTGTATATGTGAGATATTTGTGTTTATATTCTGAAAAGATTTCAAAACGTTGCTTATTAGATCTGTGTATGCATGAAGTTTGAGATATCTGTTTTTTAAAATCAAAAGAAAGCATACATGGTTTCAAAAGAAACCAATATATATATATGTGTGTGTGTGTGGTGTGTGTGGGGGGAAGCCCCCAACCCAGTTGGTAAAGTGATAACTCAAAAGCCTAGCGGTGGAGAGTTCGATTCCTTCTGGTGTCAAGATTTTCTTGAGCCGGTCAACTTCAGCTGGTTTATCTACTTTGCATGGTTTGTCGGCTATTGCGTGGGGTCGTTGGGTTTACTGTCTGTGATACCGTGTCTTCGTCCGACCCTTTGAACTGTGAGACATTGCGGTGTCCGATCCGAAGGATCGAGGGCGGGTTCCCACCGTTATAAAAAAAATGGTGTGTACCACTTTACAATGTAAAATAAACAAAAAAACTTGTTTTTTTCAAAACCAAAATTGTAATATATTTATGAACTAAAATTCTTTCTTTTCCACCTTTTTCGAAGGGAAAATTAAAAAAAAAATTGAATGGAGGAGTCGAATAAGGATCATCCAACTAGTTATAGTAAGATAAATCACTCATATCACTGACCAATCAACATGCATGTCGGACAACTGCATGGTTTCCAACGATATGACGCATCACATGGAATCCGGACAATATCAACCAATCAGCAATTAGATTCTCCACACTGTCTGACCACAAAACTCCAAAATTTTATTTTGGATATATTTATGTTGGATATTTTATAATGATCGTGAAATATGTACACAGGACACGTTTATTCTGGATATTAATCATAAAATTCAATTATATTTTATATTTTTTATAAAATATATTATATGAAATTTTTGTCAAAGACGATATAATTTATTGGATATGTGTTCCTTTTTGCTTCTTAAAGTTTTTCCAGCAACTCAAAACGCTACTAATTTTCAAGTATGGTTTATGCATAGAATACACCACATATATTTGTTTAACTGACATTTGAGAATTTTAAAGAATATGAAATTTTTATTGTATAATAATTTTTTTTAGTAGAATAGGTTTGTTCTGTCATCTCGTCCAAACCATATTAAATTTGTCTTCTATGCCTAATTAAATAATATTAAATTTATTTGTCGGTTTTAATTAAATATTGAAATGATTCTTTTATTGAAAATTCCAACCCAACACACCATGAGTGATATAAAAAACAATTGCATCGAAGGAGGAAATTATTTCTTGACCAAGGAGACGACAAGGGTGACGGTCGATTTGTGACGACAGTCGGAGTGCCGAGAGACATGACGTGCATACTTTTCGAACAATGCGTCTATAATGTCTTGTCCAAAGTGAGCGACCAGCATCGGTTCACTTACTGCCCTTATGCAATTGGCTTCTCTTTCTCCGCTCTTATCTCTCCCTAACATGTAATCCCTTTCGTCTAGACTTTGCCCCAAATCGAATTCATGTGTTTCTAATTCGCCGATTTCGAAGGAGCCCTCGTTACGGATGATCTCCTTTACTTCTCCTTCGTCCGGATCGTAAAATGGAAGGTTGAATGAATCCAAATCTTCGTCTCTCACAATTCCCTGTCACCGTAGTTGTCATATATTCATATATCCACGTCATATGTATGATGCGAATTGAATTAGAGAGTTTTATTCTTAGTCTCAAAGGGTCGATCTCTGCTACGTACCTCGTGGACTAGATCAAGAAGGGATTTTGATAGCAAGGTCCAGAAGTGGCAGCAGTCTCTGTATAATGGATCACGAACGTTTCTACCGATTAACGTGAGAACCATGCGTCCATCACATATCATCTCTTCGGAACGTAACCTTAGAAACGAGGAGAAATCTTTCCTGAACTGATTTAAGTAAGCCTCGTATACAGTTCGAGGGCTAGAACCTGTTATAAACACGCTCCCCTTGTTGTCCTCCAACCCTCGCGGAAGCTGAAATATTAAAACGAACAATTATGGGGTTTATATATATGACCTTTATATTATCAGTATTTTTATACGAGGGCACCATTGGAAATTCCATAAAAAGTTTCGAAGATATATATATCTCATTGTTACGTTTAGAATAAGATGTACTATATATACCTCGGAGAGCCAGTGAAGACTGTAAGAGGAATGCACAAAATGAAGACTCTTGCCGGGGAAGAGCCTCGAATAGAAGGAACCTGGCACTCCCGAAATAAAGGACGACCCTTTGCTCGTTTTGTTGAAGAAACATGCAAACTTGAAGGTCGTGTTGAAGTCGTTGTCGGGGAGATCGTTCAGACAACAATCGGTTTCTGGAGGGTCTCGACCCCTTTCTTGGCACAACGCGTTGATGGTGTTTACAATTTCGGACATAACCAGGAACGTGTTTTGGCCCGAGGAGCAGCCCAAGTCGGCCACTTTGATGCACGGCGGAAAATCTAACTTGATTAACATCTCTTTGGTGTTCTTCACCCGGACCGGTCTTGTTTTCTCTATAACTTTTCTCTGCAAAGCCCGTATGAAAACAACTAATTTTTTTTTACAAGATTTTGTAGAGGATTATATATAGTAATATTAGGAAAAAAAAACAAGAGAAATAATATGATGAATGCCCAACTCT